ATCACTTAAATTGTTTTTTAAAAAAATCTCTTCACCTCCCAATGTGCCTTCCTTACAGTCTGGAAATGACTTACTACATAGCAGCTGTAACTGGCAGAAAACTAGGCACCAGAGAGGAAGAGTGATGTAGTGTCACACCCTTAAGATGGCAGGGAAGGGAGCCAGGTTCTTGGTAATTAGTCTGGTGAATAATTGCATTGAATACATTTCAAGTCATTCTTGGACCTGTCTCAGGGACTTTTATGCTACACATTCTTATACATATCAATAATTTATGTATACATGTTCAGGTTATTTTGACAAAATAATTAAAGTAATGAAATGGGAGAAAAATCACATGTGTCCTGATTCTTGACATTAATTGTTGTCACTTATAACACCATTAGTATTATTAAAATTAAATATTTTAAATATTATGGAAATGTGTAACCTGAAAATTAAAGGTTTCTCATAATTCTGCCTCTCAAAGGTAATCACTGCTAATGTTTGGATGTATACACATGAGATCATACTATATGCTATTTTGAGAGTTGACTTTTCACATAGAAATATATCCTACAAGTGTGTGTGTGTGAGACTGTGTGTGTATGCATGTGGTATATCTCATTTCTTTGAATGGCTTTTGTGTTTCCTTGTAAGTAACTAAACATTTGGGTTGTTTCCAATTTCTGGCTGTTACAAACAATGTTATAATAAACATTCTTGTTATAATGAAAATATCTTTGGGCAATTGTGCAAGTGTTTTAGCAAAATTGATTCCTATGATTAGAATTTCTGACTTGAATAGCATAGACATTTTCTGTTTTAATAGAGTTTACCAAATTGCCTTTGAACAAGTTGTGCCAATTTACAATGACGTACTTGAACAATATATATGGCCACGCTTGAGTTCCCACAACTCAGTACACTGGGTGTTTTCAATCTTTAAAATGTGCTCATCTGATAAGTGAAAGTAAATACCATTGTTAACTGAATTTGCATTTGTTTGCTCATTATTAAAATTGAGCATCTTTTTTATATCTGGCTTTGGCCATGTGAAATTCCTCCTCTGAGAACTGTTGTGTGTTTTACTCATTTTTTTCAAAGTTTCATCAACTCTTCTTCCTTAATTTGTAAAAGATCTGAATACTAAAGTAAGTAGCTGTTTGGCTATCAGTTCTGTACCTTCCAATTCTCAGTTGCCAAAGTGAACTTTCTAGTGCCCAGATTTAATCATTTTCATTTGCTGCTGAATATCTGTCAATTTGTTTGAGGATATAACCCAAACATTTCAGTGTGGTATACAGCACCCCTGTCTACTCATTTATCCTGATTTTGTATTACTTTCATTCACTACCTTCCCTCCAGTCCTTACAAAACTCCTGTGTTCCCCAAACAAGCCACATTCTTTCTACTCCGTGTGCTTGCACACCCTTCTCCCTGCCTGGACTGCCCTCCCCGACTCTAGGGTCAGGTGTCATCTCCTTTGTGACATCTACTTTAAGCCTCTGCTCCATTCAGCATCAGGTGTCCTTCCTTCATCAGAATTCCATCACTAGACTCTCAGGATATACTAGACTATTAAAATCACCTGCTCATTGACATCTCTTCTCCACTAAATAAGAAGCCCCCTCAGGATAGCGTCTATTTCTTTATTCCAAGAACTCATCATTGAATTTATTACATAATACATTCTTAATTCATGTTTGCTGAGCAAATGAATCAAACAAAAGTGACACCAACTAGGATTATTTTGTATCAGTCATCTGGTCAAATAGATTTCAATCTTAAATCTGGCCTTTTCCAGCTTCTAGAAGCCACCTGAATTCTTCTAGTAAGGGACCCCTCCCTCCATCTTTAAAAACAGCATGTAGCATCTTCCCGTCTCTCTGACCACTGCTATTATCCTTACATTCTCTCTCTCTGATTGTAACTCTTATGTCTCCACCTTCTAAGGTTCTCCGTGATTGCATTGGGCCCACCAAAATAATCCAGGACAATTTCCCCATCTCAGAATAATTAACTTTCTCATATCTGCAAAGTTGCAAAGTGCCTTTAGGCTATATATTCACAAATTCCAGGGATACATGTTCAGATTATTTGGGATGTTAACATCTTGGTGTTGGTGGTTGGAGGGGGGCGGGGGGAAGGTTGGAATATTATTCAGCTTACCATGCCTCCTCTTGAAAGTTTTTCTGACTTCTTGTATTGGAATAGTTTCTCTTTCTCTGGATCCCATGGGAATTTTTAGAACAACTTTGAAATTTGGGATTAATTTTTCTACCTTCACTGTTACTTTCTTGGTGGCGAAATTATGTATTTAATCTGGGCAGTCAGACCATCCTAAATCTGGAACTAGAACTTCCTTGGTTTCATCCTTTGTAAAGGAGAAGTGTATTGCTAGGTGGATAAGAGAACAGATGGAGGGGCAAGATTCCTCATCCAAACCTCTGCTCTAACAGATACTAGTAAGAAATAGCACCAATTTCTCAATTTCTTCATCTGAAACATAGAAATAATTATAATATTTACTACATACATTTATTATATTAATAAGAGAACAAATGTAAATTACTTAAAACAGTGCCCTAGCTGGTTTGGCTCAGTGAATAGAGTGTCAGCCTGCAGACAGAAGGGTCCCAGGTTTGATTCCAGCCAAAAGCACATGCCAGGGTTGCAAGTCCAAATCCCAGTAGGGGATGTGCAGGAGGCAGCCGATTAATGATTCTCTCTCATCACAGATGCTTCTATCTCACTCTCCCTGTCCTTTCCACTCTGAAAAAAAAAAAAAGTTAAGGAGAAACAAGATGGCGTAAGGTACAGACCTGTGCATGCTGCCTCCCACAACAACATCGAAAATACCAACTATAAGACAAAACAGCTATCATTCAGAACCATGGGAAGGCTGGCCCAGTGGTAGTTCTACAACTGGAAGGAAAGAAAGACGAGCACTGAGACTGAGTAGGATATGCAGAGGCGCCAAGAACAGAGGTACGGAGTCGCACGCCAGGCGGGCTGCATTTGGACGCACGGTTTTTTTCAATCGAAAGGGGTTATAAACTCTCGAATCCACTGAACTTGTTTGGGGCAGGATTCTGAGGTCCCAGACCCCTACAGGGAGAGGAGGGACGGCCTTTCAGTGGGTCGGAAAGCGAAAGTGGCTTTCTCACGGAGCTGCTCACCAGCACTCAGGGCCACGGAGACATGGAGTCACAGAGAGGCAAGGAGTCACAGAGACGCCATTGCTGTTTGCCCTGGTGACTCCCTGAGACCCTGCCCTACTGAATTTACATCCCCGCCCAAGCTGTGCCAGTGGCACAAAAGGAACCACCTGAGCTTTTGCAGCTTAACCCAACAAACTGCAGATTTCAACTCCTCGCACCCATAAGGTACACACTCAAGGAGCAGAATCAGGTTCGGAGAAAGCCGGAACCAGACCCGGCTGGGCCGGCAACATGGAACTGCTATACCAGCAAACGCGCAAGCAGGTCCACCAGATCCAGTCTCACATGGGACGCCGGGAGACAGCAGACAAGCATTCTGTGCACTTAGTAGAAAACGAAATCCAAGCAAGCATACCAGATATTCAGCCAGCAAGAACTCATGGAGATTTTGTCCAGCAAGGAGCCACCCAAAAAAAGGCAGAATAACAAACTTCATGTTGACCAGTTAAAGTATGGTGTCCAGCACCTGCAGACTGCTTTCAGAAACTTCCAACATCGGTGATACGCAAGGGAGCAGCAGGAGAGACAGCGAGAGGAGCTTCTGTCTCGCACCTTCACCCCCAACGTGGGATGCGGCGCCCCCTGCGAGGCTGCAACAGCCCCAGCGAGGCTGAGACGGCCCCTGTGAGGCTGAGACGGTCCCTGTGAGGCTGAGACAGTCCCTGGGAGGCTGAGACGGCCCCTGGGAGGCTGAGACGGCCCCTGTGTGGCCGAACACAGGGACACGTCGCGGATGGAAATAGCTACATTTTCCATGTGTATGACCCGGCAACAAAAAGCGTACACCTATGGATGAGGACAGTGGGGGGATAAGGGCAGAGGGTTGGGGTGGGAACTGGGTGGAGGGGAGCTATGGGGGGAAAAAGGGGGAACAACTGTAATAATCTGAACAATAAAGATTTATTTTTAAAAAAGTTAAAAAATTACTTAAAACAGTGATTGGCATATAATATTCACTCAAAAGGGTTATTATTTCCCACTTGAGAGATTATTATAAGAGTTAAAGAGAGTAGAAAGTGCCACAGCACAATGCAGGGCACACTGTAAATTCTCAATACACTAGATTTTTTTTAAATTTTTTTTATGGATTTTTAGAGAGATGGGAAGGGAGAGGAAGAGAGAGAGAACACAGCATTAATGTGAGAGTGGAATATCAATTGGCAGCCTCCTACCAGGGATTGAGCTTGCAACCTGGGCATGTGCCCTGACCAGAAATTGAACCATCAAACTTTTGGTGCACAGAGCAATGCTCAACCAACTGAGCCACACCAGCCAGGGCTATGCTCTAGCTTTTAATTGATCATCATCTGTATTACATACAACAGGTTAAAGACATCAAATAGAGTGAAGCAATGTGGAGTTTAGTGAAATGTATTCAACTTTGTGACAATAATCTGAATTATTTCAGGCTCTCTTATTCCTAAGCTTAGTATGGTCACAGGGTTAAAAGATATGAAAGGTCAATAATGTTGTGACAGATGGATTTTATTAGTTTCAATGATAAAGTAAAGATAACTCCAGGCCTTTAAATATTAGTGTTTTCAAATATATTATCTAATGGGGCCCGGTTGTGACAATGTCAACTCCAGGCAATATCTAGCAATCTAATGGCTGTTTGGTTATTTAGGTTTTTCTAGATTATTATCATCATCCTTGTCATATAATAGCCTTTGTGTCCTTTATATCATAGGATAGTCAGGTGTTACTCATTTGCTTCCAAGGCAAATTGAGTCATTCCACTCAAATGTTTGCAGTAAGTAGAATAGAAACTTGTAGAATCATCTTCCTCTCTCATAAATGAAGCAACAGCAAAGTGGTACAGCATCTCAACTCTTCAAGTTCCTCAAAATAAGTTTTGCTTTTGCAAAACGAACTTTTAACTTCCCACATTCAGTGAGCTGTGTTATAGTCAACATGACTTGCAGCCACGTTTGTTGTAATTTTTTAAATATGTGGAAAAAAAGAAAGATATCGACCATGTATTACCTTAACCAAGATGCCAAATTATCTAACTTGTTTCTCCAGGCAAGCAGCCCAACCACAGGAACAGCTCCCAGGAGCCAGTCAAGATTGTCTGTCTGTCCATCCACTCAGGACATCTGTAGGTAAGTGCTCAGCAAATGATTCTACTCAATGGTTTTCAGACCAGTGTTTTGTATTCTTGTTTTACGTTCTGACTGTGTGGCTCTTGCTTCTGCTTATGTTGGCCATGGATAATTTATACTGGCCTAATTTTTTTCCTTTAGTGAATTTCTTTATTTGATCTTTATTTACCAACGTTTGGTCCATGCTATCATTTTCATTGTTCTCTCTCTCTCTCTCTCTCTCTCTCTCTCTCTCTCTCTCTCTCTCTCTCTTTTCCCATGGTTTTCTGTCCATTCCCATTTTCCATTCTTTGCCTGCTGCTTTGTCTAGATCTACCATCTTGCATGACATATCAGAAGATGGTTTTGAGCAATGCACCCCTGTCTGGTGCTGAGCCCTGTAGGAAGGAGTCTTGTACGAAATCAGTAAAACAGACACCTAGGAGGAGGAGGAGGGCCTCTGAGAGATAAGAGTGTGCAGACTAACAGATAAAAGGGAGAATAAATGATTTTCAACTGCAGATCTCACGCCCCAGGTGGAGTGAGCTTCACTCAGATTCCTCAGACTCATCTCCCCTAGATGAGAGTCCTTGGATGCAGGCAAAAAGAAGAGCCCAAGTGAAATTCCAACTGTCGCCAAGAAGGGGAAATAACAATGACTCCCGTGGAAGCTTGGATGGGTCTTCTGCTCCTGATGGAATTGATCTGGTAAATCTGGGATCCAAAGATAAAAAGCAACAAGAACTGACTGAATGTGAGAGTTGCTCTTTAAACCTCTGCAGAGGAAAAGGCCCCTGGTGCCAAGAGTGCAGTCTTCCTCTGCCTAGAGGACCCTATGAGACTGAGAGAGCCTCAAGGCACCATGAAGAAAGCAAAGGCGGATACCGCCACAGGGATCCACAGCTCTTGCATAGTCTTGGGCAAAGAGAGACAATCAAGGAAAGATTTTCAGAAACAGATTCCAGCACTGAAATAGTGGCAGTACCAGAAGGCGGCAAGTCTGTGAGTGATGTGGGGTTCCAGGTGAATAACTCTGTTCAGAAGCCTCCTGCCAGCTACCATGACGGGTCTGATAATTTAAAACTATGCAGGTCAGTCACTATAGAGAAATACTGGATGCCATGCAAATGTATTTCTTTCTGCTGTGAGCTATGTGTGTGTTTGACACTTACCCTTAATGCATAACATTTATCCATGCTGTTGTCTGGTGGATATAAGGTGGTAAAATGAGAAAAGGTGCATCTAAGAAGAACATAGAATTAGATTTCCCCTTTTTCCTTTTTGTTAATTGAATAATGGTTTATTCTAGTAAAGGGACTGACAAACCGATTAGTCTTGTATCCATTCTAGTTAAGACAAAACTAATAGAGGGAATATGAGTGAGAGCATGAAACCTTAGATTCTTCAGTGTAAATCTGGTGAACTATTAGCACCCCGACAGAAAAGATATTCAAGGTAAGAGGTTTTGAAGGTCAGAATTTTGTATCAGAAAAATCTCCTGCACAGTTGGTGCTAATTTGCTCTCTAGCTGTTTGACTCAGCAGGTAATTTAAGACTGAAAGGACATAAAAACAGGTCCTGGACATACCAGTGCAGTTGCTGGAGCCTTCAGGGAAGGCGGCCACATTAACTGTACGGAAAGGTCTCAAACATGCAGGCATTTCATAGCTGTAAAGCTGCTTTCTTGCACTTTTTACCCAACTGTACACATTTTCATCATTTATTCATTTAAGCCTCAATTGTGCATCAGGTTTTATTGTAGGCTTGAAAATATCATAATGCCTGAGATTTGTATAGTCTCTGACATCATAACTTACAGTCAGAGGAGGATAGCAGATTCAAAACTCTTTCATAGTTTTATATAATTATGATTGTGATTAGGAATATGATAATACAACAAGGAAGTTTTAATTATTCTGGGGAATCAGAGAAGAACTCTCTTAAGGAAGTGACAAGCTGACCATGGCTCGAAGGCTGACAGGAGTTGATCAAGGAAAGAAACCAAGGAGACCATCCAGAGAGAATGCCACTATGAAGCCAGGATGAGGGGAGGAGTTTAGCAATCCAGGAAACTGAACACTGGCTGTCCTGGCCAGGGGGTGGTGGGTGAGGGGCATGGCTGGTAGTGATGAGAACTGAGAGGTGGAGAGAGGCATGCAAAACATGCTAAGGGATTTAAAGAGAAATGACATCATTTGATTTGTATGTTAATGTGAGTTTCTTGTAATCTTTTGAATATGATTTAAGTGTGGCTTAGCTAAAATGTTGGGGGATAGAATAAAACACTCCTTCCAGTCTAGACTAAGAATTCCCACTTGCAACCATCTGTTGCCATTTTCCCAAACCTCCTTCCAACATAATTTAATGAAAGACAGTCAAAGAAGCTGGTTGTAATTGGATAAAAAAATAATGCTTGCAATTAAAGTCATAGTGGTTGGTTCTCCTAACCTAAAAGCACTGCTCTGGAGGAACATTTTCAAAGACAGGATATTTCACTTAGATTTCTATTAATGAAAGTGAGATCGATGGGCCTATTTTCTTGCTGTGAGTTATCATCAAAATATACCCACTAAGCAAATACTAAGGACAGCATATTGTACTAGATGCTGAGGCTAAAAAGTGACAAAAGGTGTGATTCTTCCCTTAAGTGGCCTATTATCTATTAGGAGAAATTGAACACACACCTGAAAAGATGAAAGTTCAAGGCAGTTCAGGGCGAATTTAAGAAGAGGAATACTGCAGGCATTTGAAGAAAGAAAACTTGCTGAGAGCTGGAACAATCTGGAAACCCCTTAGGAAGGGGATTATTGGGACTGAGAAAAGTAGAATTTAGTTTGGCAGAGATGTATGGGTGGCATTCCAGGCACTCAAGCCAGGGAAAATACCATGAGCCCAGACTGGGATGCAGGAATGACACTATGCACTTAAAAATTTTGTGTGAATTTTTGTGACTAGCTTGGAAGCTTTGCATAGATTGATAACAACTAAATTTTTTTAAGAGACATTATAAACAAAATATGCATATCCTTCCAAGGAGTTTAATTCTATTCTGTAGTCTTATTTTCAAACTGCCTCTTGGTGCCAAAGAGGCCGCCTCGAAAGTTGAGGACAGATTAAGAGGATTGTACTTCCTTTAGCCGATCTTCAACCAGAGAAGTTTCATGATAATCTCTCCTATATAATGGGGTTTCACATAGTATTCCTTTAAGGAGAAAAGAAGATTCCACTGTGAAAGATAATACAGAACAGCCTTTGCTAAATAAAATAGTCTCAATAAAGAACAACATACACAGAGTAGTCACAGTGTCCTGAGGGTGTCCTGGGAAAGGGACCTAGATGTAGGAGAATTAGTTGGGATGAGGTAGAAGTATCTTACTTTGAGATAACTAGGACTAGGATGATACAGGGTAATGAAAGGGGGGTAACATTGGCATATTGGCATCCCACCAGGTGAATAGGAACAACCTAAATGCTTGGCATTGGTGAGAGCATAAGACAAAGGCAACAATGATGACTCCAAATCTTGGAACTTAGGAGACAGTAAATGCTGATGATATTGGCAAAGGCAGAAGAGGTCAGAGGGAAGCTGGTTTGGGAAAGACATGATGAGTTCGATTACAGGCAGGCTATTTGTTATTGCAGTGACATTCAAGGGTCAGCTGTCCAGCAGACAGTATGAGACATGTCACTGAAACACAGGAGAGCAGTCAGGGCTGGGTCTGTGTACTTGTTCAAGCATCAGTGAGCTATACACAGACCAACACTGAACAATCACATTTTTGCAATTGACGTTAATATGACGTATTAGCACAGGGCAACAGCACAAAGATATTAAAAATGAAAATATAATTATGGTCACAAAGGACATATATATTCTCAGGAAGGTGACTGTGATGCCAGGAAAGTGAATGAAAGCTTTAAATGAGGTCATATTTAGGGGGGAAAAGCCTCTAGATGGACACAGACTGAGCACCAGCGTCCCCTGTGAAGGGGAGAAAGATGACCCCTGAGAGAAGCAGCAATTGCCTTGAACTTGCAGTCCAGCTTCAGAAATGCATAGGCAGGACCAGTCTCGGCCACAACCACAAAGCAGAAGCTTCTGAGCCCTTCCTCCTTCTCTGTTCCGAGCACTGAGCCCCCACGAGGACACTCTGCTCCTTTCCACCTCATCAAAGCCTTATTTAGAGAAAGTTTCTCTTAGACAGTTATAACTTGCAGGAAATTTAAATCATCACAGTTGTGCAATGGGAGAAGCTTTTCCTATTTTAATAGAAAAATTTACATTTAGAAAAAAACATGAGTTAGCTCATGTTAGCTCATGCTTGAAACTTTTTAATGGCCTCTTAATAGCCCTTGGTGACAAGTTCAAAATCTTTAATATAACTTACAAAGTCCTGCATGATCTATTAGATCTGCCTCCCCAGCTTCAATGCCCATCATTGACAATGGCCTATTCATGCTGGTCTGTCTTCAATTCCCTGGAAATGGCCAGAGCTGTCTCTTTTAGGGCCTAGAATGCCTACACATTATCCCCTCTGCCCTTCACCAGACTGACTCCTAGTCATCCTTTCCTTATTTAAGTGTCATTTCTTTAGGGATGCCTTCACGGTGCCCTAACTAATATTCAGGTCACCTGGGAGTCAATTTCATAGCATAATTTTAAATTGCTAATGTATAGATATTTTTGTGATTGACTGCATCAGATTTGTTCATGGCAGTGTTCACAGTGCCTGAAAGATAGCACACACTCAACACAGTTTTTGAATGAATAAGTTTAGGGCTAATGAATTTTTTTAAGGGAGTCATTCTTACTGTGTGAAATCATCGCATTAAGGGGTGGATTTTCTCACCTTCTATGGAGCCAACATGTAAAGAATACTCTACACCAGCAGTTCTCAAACCTTAGTGACATCAGTTGACTACAGGCCTTGTCAAAATACAGATTGTTGGATGTACCCCCAAAGTTTCTGATTCACTTACTTTGGGGTTGAGCCCATGCATTTGCATTTGTAAAATGTTCC